TTACATACGTTAGAAGAACTGACCCCTAAAAGTTAGCTGTTAGAGAGAGTGAATCCAAGCACATATATACCCTACAACGTCCCATACTACTGATGTAGGATATCTCTCACACTAGCATCCGACAAATGGACCGTAACAATTTTGGACATGCACACTTGGAATTTTGTTTTGGATGAAAACTGCCTTTCCATATGCAAGTAAGAACAAAAATCGGTAAAGCTTATGATATAAAAGCCAAGCTACCAAACGCCAATACAACAACAACATCCAGTCTCTAGCTACCCTTACGATTATTAAGGGATACATTCCTAATCTGGTAACTAACTAGACTCACAGCCTTGTACTATCTATCAAGGTGAAGAAGGAAGTGGTTCAGTGCCCGATACATGCGAAGCAGCATCCTCTTTAGATATGGCGACATAGTTCACAGGAGCTACAGGTCGACTGTTATCCTTCTTCCCATCTTTAGCCGCGGATCTCGCACCATTTTGATGAGCGTTCAGCGATAACCTTCTGCTGGGAGTTCCGTTTGCACTTCCATTGGCACGTGGCACCATCACTTTCTTTGGAGCAATTGGCCTGTTTGGACTCGGCCTTGAACCGAATATAGCTTCTTGTTCCGTATTCAGTTGCTCATTGTATCGTTTCTGATCCTGTACATGGCCAACCACACAAGAAATTTTATAATGATGGTGATGATGATGATTTTTGTGCAACAGTTAATACGATATGCACACAAAAAAATAAAACAATTTGGAAGGCGAGCATAGTCACACACGCACACAATTTAAAAAAAAAAAAGAAAAAAAAATCATTCTAGATGTCATGGTGTTTGAATGAACAAGATCCATTTAAACCGTCTTTCTGATCAATTCAACACCTTTAGCTCAACAAAGCCTTATAACAACAATTTGAGATCAGCTACAAAAATCTTGTCTGTCATTAAACTCCTTCATCCTTCAAAAGTTTGTGATTTGATTAATAGGGACCAAGAATTTGGAAAATAGATTTAATTCATAACTATTTCATACCTGGCATTGCTTCAGAGATTAAATACATCCCTTGGTAATTTTGATTGGGATGAAAAGTTGATTTGGGTCCAAGATCCCCAATGAATCTTCTATGTAAAGTCGGCCTATCATTTAACTGTTGGTCTTCATAGATGATGCTTCAAGAGACACTGACGTAACTAACAAGGTATGGAAAAGGATCTGGATTTCATATATTAGCCCTAAAATAAAGTTGTTTCTTTGGAGATGTTGCCATAATGCCTTGGCAGTGGGTGACAATCTTAGAATCAAAGGAATTTCAAATAGGCTAGGTTGTAAGTGCTGTGGGGCTGTGAAACTGAATCTATCTTGCATGCTTTAGTGTCTTGTGATTTTGCCAGAGCTATTTGGTTTGGAAGTATTATTGGTGGTAGATATGATAATTTTTCCTATATGATTTGCCCTTAAGGTTTGGTTCAGCACTTTGGTAAATTGGCTTTCTGAAAATCATACTGATTTTAAATTTGCTTTTGTGTTTAGCATTAACTCTTTGGACTATTTGGTTGAATAGGAATGATATCTGCTTTAATGATTCTAAGCCCAACTTGAGTGCTATATTATTATCTATTGGCAGGGAAATTTAGAACCGTTTATAGCTTCACAGCAAAGCTGGGTCTCTTGGGTCTCTTTGCAGCAGGGTTCTTCAGCAATCCACAGTAATTGGTTTGAGTAATCAGTGGCACCCCCCTGTTCCTGGATGGATGAAAATGAATATAGATGGGGGTCATCGAAATGCAAATATCTCATTTTGGTTTAATTATTTGTAATGCAGGGGGTAATTTTATTGCTGCTTCTTGTGGTAGATTGGTAGCGAGTTCAGCATTTCAAGCAGAAGCATTGGCAGCTCTTCAAGGCCTCCTCTTTGTTAAATCCCGAGGTCTAAACAAGGTCATCCTCGAGTTGGACTACCTTCAGTTGGTGAATGGGCTTTTGTGCAATTCAAAAGTTTGGCCAAAGGACTCATCTTCATTTTGCATGATACCTTTCATGTATGCAGAGAGTTGGGCGTGAAACTCTCTTATGTCTCTTGTTCATGTAATGGAAGCTTACCAGAGTTCTTGGTGGGAAAGTCTCCCTGCCTGGTTGGTTGATCAGTTATGTCAGGATGGTTTTGTGGAGTCTGTCTCCTTGTTCTTCTTGTGTCTCTCTGTGTTATTCCTTCTGTTGGTATTGGGTGATTTGTTTTTATTCCTATCGTTGTAGTGTTCCTGTTTTTTTTCTATTTTAGGTTTGTGTGTTGAACTCTTTGGTTTGCTTAATGAAAATTTTTTCCTACCAAAAAAAAAAACTCCATCATCCAAAATGAATTTATTATTAAACCCAGAAAAGAAATACCCATTATGGTTTGCTAATAGAAGTAAAATGAATTCATGTCTTCTGAATCCTACATTGACTATTTCATTAACAAATATATAATGATAAAAATTAATGCATAGAAGTAATTTTGTCTTTTAAAACAAGAACACTTGGATAATTCGTCAGGCATGTATGCAGTATACATAAAAAAAGGGATGTGCCCAAATTACCACCTTTTTATTAGCATTCCTAATAACAAATCTAGTTCATCTTTTGAAATATTAAGAAAAACAAACTCAAAATAACTGGTTTCATTCCATGTTATACCTGATGTCCCATAAACCACAAGTAACCCTTGAATATCAACAATAATAAAACTATTAATTTGGAAAATGAGCTCATAAGGAGTGTTTCTGTACTTACTCTCATTCTCCGTTTCTCTTCCTCTCTATCATGCCTGAGCATGGCATATTCGTCTAGCATGGCAAGGAGAGGAACGCCATCATATGTAAATGATATGCCACGCTCCTCCTCCCAGGCTCGTGTCTTCGCCACCAAGGTGTCAACAATAGCTAAAAGTCCAATCAAACCAATTATTAATTGGATGGATGTCTTCAATCTAGATAATGAAGACCATTGTAACGTAATAGGACACTTGCAGAGATGCATGAACAACATACTAATAATTCAAATTAGATTGCACCAAAACTCACCCACAGCTATTGATAATAACCATAAAAAATACTAATCCTACCCCTAAGAGTACAACTAAAGATATTGCATCATTTCAGAAAGTAAGAGGGAAAAAAATGATGAGATGTCACAGGAAAATAAACAACCACTAAAATAAACACTCATTGCTAGATGACAAAAAGACCTAACAGAAAGATCTACCCACACATTTGGCTTTGCATATATCATGTCAAGAGAGTTCATAATCCCAACTTCCACAAGGGATTGAGGGGAGATCTTATATAATTACACCAAGGAATTGATGGACAGTGATGGAGGGGGATTTGGCCCGACCCCTTGGCCGCGCAACACGTGGAGGCAACCGGGTATGACCTGGCAGGAGCGTCAGCTCGGCACAGCAACATAGCCATAGCCCAAGAAGAGGCCCGAGCTCCCCAAGGAGAGGCCCCGAGCTCCCCAAAGATAACCCATGCTTCCCAGGAGGTAGAACCCGAGCTTTCCTTAGAAATCCCAAGCTCTACAAGGAACACCACAAAAGACAAAGCCCGGACTGACCCACCTCGGGTAAGTTCGAGCCACGCTCCTGTCCGAACTCAAGACTTCACCTCATGCACCACTCCGGCACCTCAGCTCCAGGCCGCGTGACTGAACGACCGTACCTGACACCAAAGAAGTCTGCAATCTGAGGCGGCACGCCTGACTGATCAGGGATCTGACACATGACAGTCGCACTCCAACGGCCACCTGCTACCGCCATCTCAGTCGTTGCAGAGACGGCTCCGACAGAGAAGATAGTGGCGGTTATGTCTGCCCCCCGCAGAGGCGGTTACACCTGATCTGGCAAAGGCTTGGGAGTGAGTGCACCAAGGCGGTTATAAAAGGCCCTCTTCCCCCAGAGTAAAGGCAAGTGATACTTTGTGCCTTCTGGTCTAAGAGAATCTCTCATCTTCCTTAACTTCTCAGAGTGCTAACTTGAGCGTCGGAGAATTCCCGCCGGGTTCCTCCCCCGGGGATCTCTTGTTTCCTCCCTGTTTCAGGCATCTCCCACTCCGTCAGAGGCAAGGTTACCGGCAGCTAGGACCGACCGGATCGCGCATCATCATTTGGCGTTGTCTATGGGAAACACTTCAAAAAGCCTTCCCCAACCTCTAGCTCTTTCCTAAGAAAAAAAAAGATAAGGAAACTTAGCATTCATGGCTTCCTCCGGCAGTGATAGACGTAACGCCAACCTAAATGCCGTCAGGGAACACCCTCAGCCCCCCACTGTTTGCATCGAGCAGTTCACCATCCCCCTCTCGGTGGACGGAGTCCCTAGCCTGAATGTGCCACGGACAGTGGCGCCTGTGAATGTTCCCCTTCCCCCCTCTGTTGAGACAACCTTCGCTGAACCAACCGTTGCTCCTCTGGCGACCAGCCAGAACCAACTCGATGATTTGATGCAGTGCATGCGGGCCATGCAAGCCCAAATGCAACAGCTTCAGCAACACCAACACTACCAACAGCAGTTCCCCCAACTGCCTTAGAGCCAACCGCAGCTCCCACCTCAGCACCCCTCTGCCAAGCAAGTCAAGCCCTCTCCTCAGGGCAGGCGTCCTCACCGGGGAGAAACTTCCCAGGCTCAGAACCCCTCCAGGAGCCAAGCCTCATCCCCTGGCAAGAGGGAGAGACAAACTACCCCCGCTTCGCAGCACGCCGGCGGATCGGGGACCTCCCGGCCTATCAAGTCAGCATCACCTCGGCGCTCTCAGTTCGGGCTCCCACTCGCGAAAAACTAGTTCGGCGCCTTAGCCGCGGACTACCACCAGCAGTCCGGGCCCATTGAGCTCGGCAACACCAAAGCGAGCAGTGCCAACACCGGACCTTCCAAGCAGCAACGGAGGCGCCGACGAGCCCACCGAACTACCACCCGTGTCTTACCTGAGCTCAGAGGTAAAGAGGAAGCGAGCTCGGACGAGGTAAAGAGGAAGCGAGCTCGGATGAGGTAAAGGTTACTCCTATCCTTTCAATCCCTTCCCCCCTGTCATCGGAACTCCTCACTGTCCCCATGCCCAAGGATTTCAAACTCCCCCCGCTAGACAAATACGATGGTTCCTTTGACCCGAGTGACCATGTTGATGCTTTTCAGTCCCAGATGCACCTGGCGAGGGCCAGCGAGTCCTGCATGTGTGTGGCCTTCACTACCACCTTCAGAGGAGTGGCCCGCACTTGGTATAGGAACCTAGCCCCCGGATTGATAAGAAGTTGAGCCCAGTTCGTGCAGGTCTTCACCGTGCACTTCGTCACCAGCAAGCGGTGCCCCCGAACTGAGGAGAGCCTCCTCGGTATAGTCCAGAACGAAGGGGAGTCCATCCGGAGCTATATCAAGCGATTAAACGACGTGTGCTTACAGATACCACACCTAGACCCCGCAATACAGCTCGCAGCGGCCAAGAGGGGTGTGACGCACAAGGAATTCGAATGGCACATGGTGGTCAACCAGCCCGCAACCATAGCTGAGTTCCTCAAGCTCGCAGACAGGTTCACAAGAACGGAGGAGGAGATCAATCAAAGAGCTGATGGCGGGTTTGAAAAAAGGAAGAGGGAAAGCAAACCCTCCAACCAAGAGGACAGGAGGAAGAAAGACAGCCCGGGGGGCAAAGCCAAGTCAACCGTTCCGAGCTCCCGTGGCAGATCGGGCAGACTATACACCCTTGAACGCGAAGCGGGCCGAGATCCTGATGGTGATCAAAGACGCCCCCGTACATGAAGTGGCCACCCCGTCTGAGAGGGAACCCGAATGAAAGGAATAAAAATTTATATTGCAGCTTTCACAGAGACCATAGTCATAGTACCGAGAACTGTAAGAATCTCCGCGACGAGATAGAGGAACTCATTCGTCGCGGATACCTAAGGAATTTTGTACAGAATAATGGTAATAATAATAACAATAAGGCAGGTCGACAAGGGGAGCACAGTAGGGATGCTCCTGAGTCCAGCAACAGGCCAGCAGAGCAGTCACAGAAGCACCCCCGGAGGAGAGACCAGTTCGGGGAACGATCCATGTGATCGTCGGAGGGTCAATTGTAGCGGGTTGCACCTCGGCCGTAGCTCGGGCATCAACCCGTCAGGCCGCCAGAGAAGAGCAGAATCCCCCGAAGCGGCCAAGGACAGAAGACCCCATACTCTTCACCGAGGACGACGCGCGCGGAGTTCACTACCCCCACGATGACGCGCTCGTCATAAAGGTAAAGATCAATGATTTTGAAGTCAAGCGCATCCTCGTTGATTCAGGCAGTTCGGCAGACATCCTTTTCAAATCGGCTTTCGACCAACTCCAGTTCCAAGAGAGTGACTTGAAGCCCGCGAACACCCCATTGGTCGGCTTCAGCGGAGAGGAAGTCAGGCCCCTGGGAAGGGTTATAGTACCTGTGGAAGTCGGCATGTGGCCTAGCATAGTGAGGCTCAAACAAGACTTCTTGGTGGTTGCAACCCCCTCCCCATACAATGCCATAGTAGGTCGGCCGATCACCCATGCTTTAAGGGTTGTGGTGTCCGCCTACTATTTGGCCATGAAGTTCCCCACGGACTTCGGCATCGGGGTAGTGCGGGGCGACCAGCTTGAGTCCCGCAAATGCTACGTCGCCACCCTCAAGGGAAAAAGCCAAGGTGGCCAGCGACCTCGAGTTGGAGCAACCCGTGGAACAGAACGAGGAGCGAGCTGCGCCCACAGAGGAGATCGTTCTCATCCCTATCTCGACAGAGGACCCAGCCCGAGCACTTCAGATCGGCGCTTCCCTGGAGGAGCCCTTGCGATCCGAACTGGTACGCTTCTTACTCAGTAACTTAGATGTTTTTGCTTGGTCCGTGGCAGAAATGCTCGGCATAGACCCTAACCTCATAACTCACAAACTCAATACTGACCCTATAGTTAGGCCCATTAGACAGAAGAAACGCAACCTAGCCCGAGCGATGGAGGGCAGTCGACGAGGAGGTCGGGAAGCTCCTCGCAGCAGACTTCATAAGGGAAGTTCATTACCCGAGCTAGGTGGCCAACCCCGTTATAGTGAAAAAGGCTAACGGCAAGTGGCGCATGTGCGTCGACTACACCGACCTGAGCCGAGCTTGCCCGAAAGATTGCTTCCCCCTCCCCAGGATCGACCGCCTAGTGGACGCGACCTCGAGGCACGAGTTGCTAAGCTTCCTAGATGCCTACTCGGGCTACAATCAGATCAAGATGGACCCAACCGATGAGGAAAAGACCGCCTCCATAACCGAGTTTGGCCTGTACTGCTACAAGGTCATGCCCTTCGGGTTAAAAAACGCGGGAGCGACCTTTCAAAGGCTTGTGAATAAGCTGTTTGAACCATTGATTGGCACTAAGATAGAATGTTATGTAGACGACATGGTCATCAAAACCCAATTTTCACATGAGTTAATACAAGATTTGCATTATGTCTTTCAAATTCTGCGCCAATTTAACATGAAGTTAAACCCAAACAAGTGTCTTCGGTGTCACCTCGGGTAAATTCCTAGGGTACATCGTCAACCGGTGCGGCATTGAGGCCAACCCGAACAAAATAAGGGCCATCTTAGATGAGACTGCCCCGAAAAGTAAAAGAGATTCAGAGGCTGAACGGCAGAATAGCCGCACTGAGTCGTGTTATGTCCAAGTTGGTAGACCGCTGCCTACCTTTCTTTAAGGCAATGAAAAGCAAAGGGTTCGATGGACCCCAGGTTGCCAGCTCGCGTTTGACGAGCTCAAAAGATGCCTCGCCAGTATCCCAGTTTTGACCCAGCCCGAAGAGGGCGATGTCCTAGAACTGTACCTCTCAGCAAGTGATGAAGTAGTCAGCTCGGTACTAATAAAGGTAGTAGATTGGGTCCAACGACCCATCTACTA